GGGAAGCTGAGTGTGATCGATCATGTTGAAATCTCTGTACTCAAGAGGCTGCAGCAGGAGAATTGCCTTTAGTTCTAAGCTAGCCTGGGCTTCAGTGTGAGACCCTGTCTCAATAAACCAAACCAAAAACAAGAGCATGAGGCTAGAGACGGTATACCAATACCAAGGCAGATAGGAAGGTCCCTGTGCTGGCCAGGGTAAGGCTTCTGGACCCTATTTGGGCTTCCAGGAGTTCTGTCTCTTAGCCATGATGCTTGGGAGGTTTGAAGGCAGGGCTGGTGGGTGGGGCTAGCCTTTATCTTGGAGTGCAGCCCTAGCTAGCCTCAGATGTTGACAGCTGGAGCTAGTAGGGGTTTTGCAAACCGTCCCGATTGCAGCAGGCCAGCAGTCTGTGGGACAGGTGGGTGGGGCCTGAGCTTATCTCCAAAGTACAGTCCTAACCTCAGATGGTAACAAAAGGGGAGCTAGTGGGCGTTTTGCAAACCGTCCTGATTGCTGCAAGGTTGGATGTCCTGGCCAGGGTGACCATATCACTAGGTGTGGGGGACAATAAGGGGTTTTGAGTTCGAGCCTTTGGGATGAAGCTTAGTTTCCAGGACTCTGCGAGGGAGCCATGTTTGGTATGGCTTGCCTGTACCTACATCAGGACCTTGTTCCTTTTTCTTTTTTGTTGTTTTGTTGTTTTGTTTTTTGTCTTTTTGAGACAGGGTCTCTCTGTAGCCCCAGCTGTCCTGGAACTCACTATGTAGACCAGACTGGCCTCAAACTCACAAAGATCCGCCTGCTTCTGCCTCCCAAGTGCTGGGATTAAAGGCATGAGCCATGTCTGGCCTAGGATCTTGTTCCTTTCTAAAACAAGTGGAAGGCTACAGCTCTGCAGGTGGATCTCTTCCTGTAATCAAGCCTTTCTTTGCCAGGACACAGGGTCCCTCCAATGTTCCCTCAGGTCACATCTGATGGCCAATTTGATGAAGTTAAGTTGTACCTTTTTCTTTCTCCCAACATGAGGATTTCTCATGTGTCATTGGTTTTCTAAGGTCAGGCCCAGGGGTCCTGTCCAGGTTAGACCACTCTCACTTTGGAGGGAGGGGTCTGCCTGCTGGGGGCTGGCGAAGGTTTAAGAGGAATGCCTAGACCCTCAGCCCTGCTACATCTCATACCTCTATTGTAGAGTCCTCTCATAAGCTTGGAGCAGGGCAAGGGATAGAGGTGAAGAGGCCCCTTTCCACCCCAAACCCAACTGGGATCTTGCAACACTGGGATGGGGGCCCACTAGGGCCGGGGAGTGAGGCAATCTGTGGGGGTAGGGAGGTGTGCACTGAGCAGGGGGGGCACCCCGCTTTCACAAGCCACCGGCTCCACTGACTGACCTTGGCAGACTCACCTTGGGCAGCTTCCTCCCTCGTGGTATCAGTATCTCCCCACAGCCTTCCTTCTCGGAAGCGTCCCTGTGGTCTGAGATCCTGTCTCTCATTTCAAGACTCTCGTCCTGGTCCTCAGTTCTGCTCAAGAAGGAAAAGTGGCCTGACTGTGGGTTATAAAACAAGAGGAATGTATGTGTGTTGTCGGGCCTTGATTTGCTTGGTTTTAAAAGTTCTCAACCCCCAGTCCTGGAGCCTTTCCAAACTCAGGCTGAGGTTGGCTAACTGCCCTTCCCTGGGCTCCTTTCTGCTGTGTCCTTTCCCTATGGGCAGCTCTGAGAGGCCACTCCTGGGGATGAGATAAACCTGTTCTCTCTACCCCAGCTTCAGGACAGAGGGAATGGCGGAGAGTCATTTCAACTCCTTTCTATAAAGGAGATGTTTTTCTGGCTAACCCTTTGTCCTTTCACTCAGGCACGGTACTTGGCTTCCTTTCTTTCCCTTCTGCACTCGTCGCCTGCATTAGCTCTTCCCTCTGTTCACACTTGACCCAGTGGCACATCAACCTCCTCGAAATGCTTTAGGTTTCAACTTAAATGCCACTTCCTCCAGGAGGCCTTAACCTTCCCATCTGAAAGTCTCCCTCCTCATAGGCACATTCCAATAGCTTAATGAGAATGAAGGGCTTTAAAAGGTGTCATATATAAAGGACAGATTCAGGCCCAGCAGTTGGGGAGGCAGAGGTGGGCATGATCTCTGTGAGTTCGAGGCCAGCCTGGTCAACATAGAGAGCTCCAGGACCACATAGTAAGACCCTGTCTGAAAAAAAAAAAAAAAAAAAGAATCACAGGAAAGCCACAGGAATGGCAGGCACCCTGGACTCCCACAGTAGGGGAGCCATGGCCACCCTAGGGTCCTAAGGGCGAAGGAATCCTGAGAGAGAGGAGCCAGCAGGGAGGGTCTGCTTCCCTTTCCTCCAGTCCTCCATCTCATTCTAGTCCCTCAGCTCCTACAAACGTGCTGATGAAGGAAGGCAGCTCTCTGGAAGTGAAGCAGCCTGAGAAAGGACAGAGGGGGGATGTGGAGTGCCCATGGGAGACAGGAGACATACTTGATTATTGCTTTTTTCTTTCTACTCCTGCAGCAGAGAAATTGTCTTGTTCTCAGAAAAGATGCTTGACAAATAGTTGTTGAATAAATTACTTTGGCCAAAGCCAATTGGAGTTGGATCGCTATAAGTCATCTCCTTGGGATAGGATCTGACCAAAAGGAGTGGGGCTATGCTGAGCTGCTCCTTGTCACATCTCACTGGGACAGCCCCCCCCCAGGGGGGAGGTGGCTCTTCTCCAGCTTCAGTGCCAATCAGAAAGGCTCTCTCAGTCACCAGCCCTAAGGAATGGCAGGTCGGTGGGGGAGCTGGGAGGAGACCCAGCTCAGAGTTATGGGAAAGAAGTTCAGGGATGATGCCCAGGTGAACCAGGTCCTACCATCTAATGCCTTTAAAAGGAGTCCAGAGGCAATGGTCTTGAGTGGAGAGGAGGAAACCCTGAGGTTGAGTCATTTGCTGCATTCTCTGCAACGCCCCCCCCTCCATGCAACCCATACCCCTGGACTACAGGGAAGATGAGAGGATTCTCCCAGGTGCCAAAGAGATGAGCACCTTCCCCTCTTACTCAGATAGCTGAGGAAACAGTCCTCCCGTCTAAAGGCTCAGGCCTGTTCACCCAAACCAGAGCTGGGTTGAGGGGCTTAGCAAATAGGGAAGAGATAGTGCTGAGACTCAGAGGCAAAGGCAGGAAGGGACCAGAGTTCTGGCTGAGGTCGGTCTGGTACACACAGATGCCTGGGATGTATGCACTCTACCACCGAGGTCCAGAGTAGAGAGAGAAACAGGACAGTCATCACTCAGATACAAGTCTCTCTCTCAGCAGACCCTGTAGTTTTTATTATGTCTAGCCTCTAACCCTGTTGGGCAATTCATTATTATTATTGTTTTAAATATTTTATTATTTTTATTTTATGTCTATGAGTGTATTGCCTGCATGTATGTGAGTGCACCTGTGTCACGCAATGCTGCGGAGGTCAGAAGAAGGCTTCAGCTTCCCCTGGAACTGGAGTTAAGGACGGTTTGTAGCCGCCATGTGGGTGCTGGGAATCGAACCTGGCTCCTTTGCAAGAGCAGTCAGTGCTCTTAACCGCTGAGCCTTCTCTCCAGCCCCTATTATTATTATCATCATTATTTTAAGTGGTGCTAGGGATGTAACCTAGGGTCTTGACTTTTTAGGTAAGCGCTTTACTGACTTGGCTCCATCCTTAGCCCTCACTTGCCCCACCTGTACTGTATTTCCTTGAGAGGCGGATGTGCGCATAGAGGACAGACAGCACCGTGTGCTGAGGCAGCAGAGGACTGATGAGCTTTAGGTGATTGTTTCTTGTCCCTCCTGGCCCTCCCTGCTTTATCTACAAGATGTGGCTCACCCTATCTTACTAGTCTGAGGGCAAAGCTCACTCAGATGATCTCTTGAGGTCGCTCCCAGCACCTCTTGAGATCTGTGATTTCATGGAGCTAATTTTGATTCTGTTTCTAAATAGTTCTGTGATTCTAGGTAGTCCCTTCCTCTCTCTTGTTTCCTTGCCTGCAAAATGAGTTGAGATGAGATCTCTGAGGTCTTTTTGGTTCCAGCAAAATGGAAGCAGAGCGAATATTCATGCTTACCATATGCCAGACCCTGTTTCTCTATGAAAACAACGGTATGAGATAGGCACTCAGCTTATTCCTGTTTTGCAGGTGAGGAAATTGGATCACTGAAAAGAAGAGTAACTGGCTCATGGTCACACAGCCTCTAGGTAGCAGACCAAGATGCAAACTGAGCTCCCGGTTACCGTGCTGTTCTCTTCCTAGACTGTAGTTCCACGAAAAAGAAAACACCTGTAGTGTGGGGGTTCACAGCCACAGGCTCATTGCCTTTCTCTTCTTCATAATCCCCATTCTTACATACAAATCAGATTCCAAGGCTCTTCCCAACTGATTCCTCCCTCAAGTGCTCAACATTCTCCACTGTGAGGGAGCAGGGCCCTAGGAGATGAGGGATAAAGGCCAGAGTGGGTGAATTGTCAGGTTGAGAAGTGGAACTAGAGAGGTGAGATGGAGTGCTGGATCAAGGGACCAGAAATAGGGCAGAGCTATCAGGAATTTTTTTTGGTCACCTGGGATAGGAGTGTCCTGACCTATACCTTACAGTAAGAGAGCAGGTCTAGTAGGGTCAGTGGGTCTGGGCACAGGAACTGTGTAGTGCTGGGATCACCCTAAGCTCTAGGATTCACTCAGGAGAGTATCCTGAGGCTGTCCCAGGTCCTTGCATGTCATGGCAGTGGTGAGCATGCCTTCAACTTACTAAGGACCAAGTGTGTGGGTGGAAGGACATGGTGGTGCAATGACAGAAGACAGCCCTGAGGCCTGGCTGTGAGGTGTGGTGGAGAGAGCAGTGGGTGGGCTGTCTGTATCACCGTGTATTCTTCTAGGCATAGAGACAGAAGTGTAGTTTCCCCCACACACGTTCCCTGCCCTCAGGGCCTCCCATGGGCACATGCACACTCACCACTCCTACAGGCCCCAAGCCCAGAGAACAGCCCCAGGACCAAGTCACAGTGCAATTTATTCTGCCATAGAATCATTATGGTCCCGACCTCGCCAGCGACTGCCATTGTCGTGGTTTCTGTCTTAGGCTTGGCCTGTGTAGGTCTCTGGGACCCTAGCAAGGTGGGGGGTCCTCAGACACTGGTGTCCACAGTCCTCCAGCCAGGCTCAGCTGCAGCTCCCCACACCCTTGATGAGGTTGGCGGCCTCAGGTATCTGGCGGAAGAGGTTGCGCAGGGTATCCAGCTCCTGGGTGAGCTGCTCCACGCGGCTGCGCAGACGCTCATTTTCAGCCATATATTCCAGCACTTTCTGCTGCGTCTCCAGAATGCGCCTCTTGGCCTTGTCCCGGCTTTTGCGCACTGCGATATTGTTGCGCTCGCGTCGCAGCCGGTACTCGAGGCTATCCTTGTTCACTGCTTTCTTGCCCTTGTGCGAGGGGCCAGCTGGGGAGGGTGCCTTGAGAAGGGGGCTGCATGGAGGGGCAGCAGCAGCTACAGGGGCCTGGAGGGGAAGGCAGAAGGACAGAGAGGTGAGGGCCCACCAGGAGGCAGAGTAAAGGCTGAGCAGGAATCCCATGTTTGGGGCCGCAAAGGAATATAGGATTCCAAGGCAGCCTCTGTCTCCCAGGTTGGAACAGTCACTGCCCTGCCTGCCTCTGGGAAAGTCGGTAACTCAGATGCACAAGGTCCTCTATCTGAAACCCAAAGCTCCTTTTATGCCCCCTCCTTCCCTGAGGACACTGTCCCTTGGTCTGTCCATTGGGAGGCCCCTGTTCCACAATCAGCTGGCATTTCCTCTTCCAGAAACAGGGAAACAAGAGGAAGGGCATGGTGGGCAGGCAAGCTGGCCGGGGTCTGAGATCAGCTACCACAAGGGTCTTCAGGACCCAGTGGAGTCAGAGCACTGTGTGTTCATAGAGCCGGAAAGAGGACCTTCGGGTGGGTCAGTTTCACCGAGCACCAACAAACAGACTTAGGAGTGTAATCGGGGGAAGTTAAAGTTCCCCCATCCGACCAGCTTGCTCCAGCCCGGGGAAGGCAGGGAAAACTGCCTTGTTAAGTCTTACCTTGAGGACACGCAGGGACTGGCCAGGTGCTGCCAGGGTGGGGGGCAGGTGCATGGCTGTCTGCCCACAGTGTGTCACTTGGTACTGCAGGGGATTGTAGCTGCCTCGGCTGGCACCTCGGCTGCCCTCTGGCCCACGAGGCTCCTCCTTCACGGCCACAGCCCTGGGGTCGTAGCTCCCTGGGCTGCTGTAGATGCCAGGCCCCAAAGCCTTCCTGTCTGGGCCGAATGTATGGGAGGGATAGGCGAATGGCCGAGGGTCAGCCGGCAGGTAGTGGGGGAAGGCAGGGGTTCCCGGGCCCTTAAGGCTTCGGGCCTCAGGCGCTGGCTTCATTGCAAAGAGGTCCGAAAGTAGTTGCTCCTCCCCAGACTCGATGTAGGCAGAGAGGTCGATGGAGGCCTCATGCTCACACATGTCCCCCAACTCCCCCGGCCCAGCGCGGCCCCCTGAGAATTCTAGTGGCTGCTGGCCACTGCGAGCCTCACACTCATAGTAGGTCCCGTGGGACATGGCCGGCCCGCCCCCTTGGCTCCCCGCCCCGGGGCCCTGCTCTGGGGGCACTCCTTGGGATGCTTTCTTGATCTGCCCCTACCCCAGATCTGCCCTAGATCTGCCCTCTCTGGTCTCTTCTGTCACCCACTCCTGTGTGGCTTCTCTCCTCCTTTGCTCTGCTTCCTTTTCCTCCTTTTGCTGTCTCTTCTCTTCCCTTTTTTCCCCCTCTCTCTCCTTGGTGTGACTCAGGGAGGGGCAGGGCACACCCCAGAGGGAGGGATGCTTAGCAGTTGGGGCCCGCTTTGGTGCAAGCCCCAGCCAGGAGCTGTCCAGAAGTTGTTGTTTGGGAGAACGGCCCCTTCTCTCCCTGTGAGCTCAAGGGATTTCAGTCCCTTTCCCAGGACAGCTCCTCCCTCTGAACTTGGTTCTACCCTCCAGCTTCCAAAGAGATCTGTGCAGAACGAGATGCCATGCTAGAGGCCGGTAGAGGAAGCATCCCTCCAGTGCCTGCCACCACTGCTTGGTCTAAACTAATCCCTTGACACATCTTCCACCCTGTCTTCCCGGTGCTGACTCCACCTCCCTTGGGGTAAGTCAGTTCCTTCTGTAGTCCCACCTCTCAGAGCATTCTCCTGGGTATAGGGCAGTGTTGTTTGAGGGGTTTAGAAAGTAGTGGTAAGTTCTAGGCTCAACACTACCTGTCCCCTGGCATAGGGCACGCTCATTCGCTAGGTCTTTGCACAAGGTTTGCACACGTTTCCAGTCCTGACCACCTCTAGCAGCCTGGCACAGGCCCTGGCGGCCAGGACACAGCTGAGGGGTGCCTGGTCAGGACTTGGGCCCTGTACCCTAGGCCCAGGCAGGTTACTGCCCCCAAACCAGCAACCATACTCCTCTGGAGGCTTCTGTGCCTTTCTCTTCCAGTTGCCCCACCCCGAAAGAGGCTCAGGCTGGCACCCCGCACCCCCCCACCCAGGCCTGAGGCTCTGCCTCCTGCTTCCTGTGCCCTGGGTTTGCAGGCTCGGGAGCTCCTTGCAGCTCAGTTTGCTGTCTTTCCTTTTGCATGGCTGTTTTCTGACCTCTAGTGTGTGTCTCTTGGGTCCACTTCCTCTTGTAGGCTTGAGAAGCCTTCTCTTTTGTCATCACCTCTTCCTGGGGTTATGTTTTAGGGTCTATAGGAGAAGCCCGTGGCTGCCTGTCTACACTTCTTGGTCTTGTACTGTCCCCCAACTTCCCTTTTCTCTTTCCTTTGGGAACTCCCCACTCCCTCCTGTCAGAGGCACCTTCTGTGGCCCTGCTTTACCTGTGGAACTTCAGACAGGGCTGGAGGCCTAGTGATAAGAAAAGAAAACATAGAAACAACAAATGTGTGCCTCGGCCTCTCTCCAGATGGGATGACAGCTATGCCACTAGGCCCAGTTCTGCTACCTCTTTTATTACTAATAAATGGCGGTGGTGGCGGCTGTGGCGGTGGGGGTGGGGGGTTATAAGTTGGGTATTTTAAAGACCAGGTCACTGTGAAGGACCACAGTGGGGTAAGTTTGGATGGGATTCATGTGACATTGACCACTGAAGTAAAAGCTAAAATGTTACTTGCTCACTAGTCAGGAGGTTATCCTCTCTTGATAGCATTCTCCCTCTCGAGCTCCACAATTTGCCTCAGATGCTCTGAATGTAGCCTGAAGTATGGCCAAATGTGCTTTCTCCAAAGGTGCATGGAGGCCCTGGCATGGGGAGATCTGCATGCATCCTAGACACAGAGTTCAGGAAATCAGGCTGAGATTTCTCCTCTGCATTTCAAAGGCCGGGGCCAAATGGGTACCAAGACTACAAGAACTTGAGTTTGGTGACAGGGCCTCCACTGACCACTAGATGGCAATATTGACCCCCTAATTCTGGAATTATGAGGCAGCTGTAGTTTGGAATTAGGTCGCCAGCAGGGGGAAGCGCTTCTCAACTCTGCCCTGGGTGTTGAGAAGCAGGAAGAGGAAACATGGTCAGGTTGGTGGGCAGGCAGGCTGCGGGGATTGGTGCCAGGACCTATCTCAAGGAGAAATTCTACTTTCTCCTTAACTTCGAAATAACGATCATCTGTAGGCCTTGTGTCATTTGACAAATTATGCTTTTTCAATCAATGAAACACATACTTTTCCATGGTGACCATTTTGCTGTGAGCTAAGTAGAAGGGAAGACAGAGAAGTCTTTTTTTTTTTTTCCTTTTCGTCTTTTTGAGACAGGGTCTCCCTGTAGTCCCCAGCTGTCCTGGAACTCACTGTGAGGACCAGGCTTGCCTTGAACTCACAGAGATCTGCCTGCCTCTGTCTCCCGAGTGCTGGGATTAAAGGCGTGCACCACCACGCCCGGCAAGAAGTCATTTTTATACTAATTTTATCAACAAGGAAAATAAGACTGAGAGGCTGAGCTGTTCATGGGCACTAGGGGATGTCAACATCTCTGAAAGGGCCATAGGTTTGTTCTAGAAATGGCCCTAAGAGCTGAAGTGATGGTGTAGGTGTATGATTCAGAGAACCTCCTCCAGCCTCAAGCAGGCTGCCATGGGGAGGGGCACAGCTGCACCAGTGGTAGTGAATGGGGTGCAGGAGGAAGCGGGAGGTGTACAAATAGAGCCAGCAGGAAATGGAAGGTCTGCAGCTTGAGCCTCAGTGAGATAAGTGGTGGAGGTGCCTGGCCTTTGCAGAGGGTGGTGGCGCTGCCTGCACCTGTGTTTCCCAGTAACTGAGGGATAAGCCAGGCAGGGGCGCTCTAGATGCAGAACAGGAGAGGGGGCTGGGAAAGAGAGAGTAAGGTGGGGAAGGCAGTGAGTGACACCCAGAGACTAGGGATTCTTGTTCAGGAGAGGAAAGAAGCCTTCCTAGCTCGGCAGGATCATTTTCCTGTTGCTGCTGCAGTCGCTACCTGTTTGCATTAACTAAAACAATGGGTGTATGTTATCCCAGGGCTTTGTGACAAGCCTCTAAGTCTTCCCCATAGGACAGTGGCTGAGCATGGCTGTGACGAGTCAGAGGACACTGGGCTCAAATCTGGCCTGTGGCCTCTGTCATCTGCTAGCTCTCTGACCTTGGTTAAGCTGTTTAATCCTACCTGCAGAATGGCAGTTGTAATGGCTGCCTGATTGGATTGTTTAAACTTAGAAAAAGAAAATGTGAAGCAACTGATCTCAGTTAATGTGTTGTTCTCCCTTTGATCTCTCTACTGCTTTTATTCCTGTCTCTAAAGCAGACACCCCTGTTGTCTTGCATGACACTTTGACAGGCATTTAAAAAAAAAAATCTGATTTTTTTTTTTGAAAGCAGGGCTTGGTAGTGCACACCTTTAATCCCAGTACTCAGGAGGCAGAGGCAGGTGGATCTCTGTGAGTTCAAGGCCAGCCTGGTCTACATAGTGAGTTCCAGGACAGCTGGGACTACTAGGAGACCCTGACTCAAAAAGATTAAAAAAAAAAAATCTGACTTTTTTTACATTTATTTACATATATATATACATATTGTGTGAGTACATGTGTGTTATAGTGATGGACTCAAACTAAAGCCCCCCAGGTTAAAGTGGATTCAAACCAAGTCCCCCAGACCAAAGAAGAATATTCAGAACAAAGAAGTAAGTAAAATAATTCTAACTGCTGAGAAACCTTTTCACTTTTCATGCTCCGTACACAAGCCAGACATCACCCGAAACTTCCCCCCTCCCACTGCTGCCGGTTGCTGCCGGCCTCCCTCCCACTGCTGCCGGTTGTAGTTTGTGGTTTTTGCCTTTAAAAGTCACCTGTAAGCTGAGCTCGGGGCTGCTGCTCTCTCTCTCTCTGAGTGAGGCAGGGGCCCGTCGCGCAAACAATTAAATCCTCTTGCTTGTTGCATCTCCTGGTCTGAGGACTGAGTTATTGGGGTGCGGCCTCCCGTGGACGTTGGGTACCCCAGCCTGGGGGAGTCCTACAATAGCATATATGTGTAGGTCAATGGACAGCTTTAGGGAGTCAGTTCTCTCCTTCAACCATGTGGGTCCTGGGAATTGAACTTAAGTTGTCTGGCTTGGCCCCAAGTGCCTTTGCCAGCTGAGCCATTTCACTGGCCCTTGTTTTTTCGCTTTTGTTTTTGACTTTTTTTTTCTTAAAATTTTTTTATTTTTTTATTTTATGTGTTATGAGTATATTGCTTGTATGTAGGTAGGTGTACCCATATTGTACAATGCCTGTGGAGGTCAGAAGAGGCTGTCAGATCCTCTGGAACTGAAGTCATAGATGATTGTTAGTTGCCATGTGGGTGCTGGGACTCAAACCCAGGTCCTCTGCAAGAGCAGCTGGTGGTCTTAAGTGCTGAGCCATTCTCCAAGTCCTCATTTTTGATTTTGAGACAGGATCTTATGTAGTCTAGGCCAGCCTCAATTCAATATATAGCTGAAGGTGACTTTGAATTTCTTTTTTGCTTTTTTTTTTTGTGTATGTGATAGGGTTTCACTATGTAGCCCTCTGTAGTGCTGGTTGGCTTGGAACTCACTATGTAGACCAGGCTGGCCTTGAATTCACAGAGATCCACCTGCCTCTGCCTGTCTAGTGCTGGAATTAAAGATGTGCCCCACCAAGCCTGGCAACTTTGAATTTCTTGATCCTCCTGCCTCGATCTTCCAAGTGTTGGGATTCTCAGCATACACCACCACTCAGAGCTTGACAAGCATTTCTGAGCACAAAAGCTACCAGGTACTGCTCAGGCTCTGGATGGACTTTGGGTGCAGACCCTGCCAGTGGACATTCACAGTCCGGATTGGGAGACTAACAGGAGGCGGTCCTAATGTGGAGTGGGTTGACAGAGAAGCTGTGAGGTACAAAGGGGTACAACATGGTCATTCTTGGATTCTTTTCCCTGGCAAACAATTTCTTTTCTTTTTTTTTTTTTTGGTCTTTTTGAGACAGGGTCTCCGTGTAGCCCCAGCTGGCCTGGAACTCACTATGTAGACCAGGCTGGCCTCGAACTCACAGAGATCCACTGGCCTCTGCCTCCTGAGTGCTGGGACTAAAGGCGTGCACCACCACGCCCGGCTTGACCTCCAAATCTTTGTGTAGCCAAGGAGTACATAAAGGATGACTTTGGACTTTTGATCCTCCAACCTCCGCCTTCTGAGTGCTGAAATTCAGCCACCATGACTGTTTTTAAAATTTTTTTTTTTTTTTTATGGTACTGGGGATTGAACCCAAGGCTTCCTCTACTCTAGGAAGGCACGTTACCCACTGAGCTGCATTCTTAGTTCCAGGGTGTTCTTTGAGAATAGGCTCAGATACTTCTTTTTAATCTCTTCAACCACGGAACCATAGTTCCTGAATTAAAATTAAGGCAGGGCACGATGGTTCATACCTGTAATCCCAAGCATATGAGAGTCTGAGGCAGGAGGATTGTTGTGAGTTCAAGGTCAGACTGGGTTACAAAAATAAATAAGAACAAAACAACAACAAAAGGATGGGAGGATTGACATGTTTGGATACCCTTAAGGAGACAAAAATTATTTGGAGCCCATGATGACTTGCAAAATTCAGTAATAAATTTATTATTCCTATAAAGTATGGCAAAGACTCTGGACATCACAATCACAGAGACTTGTGGGAGTATATTGATACATGAACATGGGCCAAAGTGGGTCAAAGTGCTTGCCACCAGGCCTGACAACTGGAGGTTGATCCCCATAATCCACATGTGAAAAGAAAGAAACAATTCCTAAAAGTTGTCCTCTGACCTCCATACATGTGCATAAATTAAAGTTGAAAAAATAAATGGGTGGGCAAGCAGCTATGATTTAGTGACTTCAAAAAGGGCCCCAAATCGTCTAAAGTCAGAAAAATGGTCTAAACTCAGAACATCTGAAATCCCCAGCATTAAAGTCACCAGCAGGAACAAGGCAGGGAAAAGGTCTAGAAATAAATGTCTGCTGCTCAGGAGGAGACCCATACCTGCCCATTTGACCAGGTTGAGAAGATAAGCAGGTATCACTGTATATAGAGGGACCCCAGGGACAAGTGTCTCCATTGCATAAGCAGGGACTGGGGAGGCCTGGCCCCACCACAGTGGAGGCAATATGGAAGAGACTTGGGGCAGCCTGGAGAGAAGAAAATGGTAGGCTTGAGCAAATGGGGGCTTAAGAACGTAACATGAGGCTTGGAGGGCAGCCACCTTCACAAGACTGGCCGCTGCCCTTTGGGGACAACCAAAAGTTAGAGGATCAAGAAACTGGGATGAGGTCCAACCCTACCCCTCCAAAAATGTCATCAGGTGAAGTGAGTTGCCCATGCATACACAACTGCTCTGTGGCTGGCTGCCCTCCACCCCATGTCTGGCATCCTGGCTTAATGCCCCTGAGGATGACAAGCTTCCAGTCTGCCTAGAAGAATGACAGCCACGGGCAGGAGGGTTAATGCCAGGCCAAGGCTGGAGGAGTCCTGCTGTGTTCTCACAGTGGCCCAGATGGTGAAGGGTTCTGTCTTGTCCTCACCCACACCTCCTTCCAACAGGTCATAGGTCTGTCAGGAGAGCTGGCTCTGGAATGATGGTGCCCCAAGACAGGCTGCTGGGAGGGCTGCCCAGAAAGGGAGGGACAGAAGCAAGGACCAGGTCTTACTCCATCAACTTCCTCCAGCAGTTAACTCAAAATACCAGGATGTATTCCACCTGTCTTAACCCTTCCTTCCTTCCTTCCTTCCTTCCTTCCTTTTTTCTTTTTTTGGTTTTAAAAGAGAAGGTTTTAATGTATCCCTGGCTGGCCTGGAACTCACTATGTAGACCAGGCTGGCCTCAAACTCAAAGAGATCCACCTGCCTCTGCCTCCCAAGTGCTAGGATTAAAGACGTGCACCACCAAACCTCACCTAATTTTTTTTTTTTGTCTTTTTGTTGTTTTTTGTTTGTTTGTTTTGAGACAGGGTCTCCTTGTAGCCCCATCTGTCCTAGAACTCACTATGTAGACCAGGCTGGCCACAAAGATCCACAAAGATCCACCTGCCTCTGCCTCCCAAGTGCTGGGATTAAAGGCGTGTGCCACCATGTTTGGCCACCTCACCTAATTTTAAAAATAAGTTTTTCTTGGGGCTGGCAAGATAGCCCATCAGACAAAAGCACTAGCTGCCAAGTCTGACCCGAGTATAGATTCCCCAGGATCCACATGATAGGAAAGAACCAACCCCCTCAAGTTCTCCTCTGACCTCCACACATGTGCTATGGCATGTGTGTGTATGTATGGGCACACGCACAAATAAACAATTAAAATGTTAACAAAATTTTTTTCTAAGCATACAAGGCGACCTTAATTCATCTCCTTTTTCTAGTCCTAGTCCAACAGTCCTCTTAATCTTCCTTTGCAAAGTCACCCTATATGACTCTATATAGCTGAGTGACGAGCCTCACCTCCCGCTGGGTAGGACAGGAAGTCTTTGTTATCCAGCCTTGGGGTACCACTTCTGCTTCTGCCTCCCTTGGCTCAGCTTGGTGCTGTTCTGTCACCTGTGTCTCTACTTTGGAGAGGGACTGGCTCTTTCCTGTTTGTTTGCAGGCTTTCAAGATGGTACACAGAGTGGGAACTCAGCAACCCTTTGGCACTCCACAGAAGGAATGGGAGGTCATTGTTAGAAGGCGCAGGCCCCACATTCCTGGGCCAGATGGAAAGTGTGGAGATCAAAGATTTTTAGGAATGTTGTCCTAGAAGGAACCTGACAACCAAAGACCAAGTAAAAAGGTCCACTACCTCTGTTTCAGAAGGTTATCTGATTATCAACACATTGACTTCATTTCCATTTCACATTTTATTACATGAAAAGAAAAATTCCACAAAACTAAACTGTAAACCCTAAATGAATTCAATGACAGATTATCGGGGTTGTAGCTCTACCCCAAACCACCTTACATTAAAAAGTCAAAAAGAAATAAAAATACCATTTTCAAAAATATTTATCCAAAAAGTAAGGCATCCACTTAAAAAAAAAAAAAAAGATAATTGAAGGCGGGGTGGCTGAAGGAGGCGTGGGTAAAGACGGAGGAATGAGAAGGAGCAGAAGGGTGGTCCCTGGTCCTCCAGAGGCCCCACAGCCTGCTTGGGTTTGACTTTGAAGGGCCATAATTTAGCCTAAACCTAGCCTCTCACCAATTAAGGGTCAGGTGAGCTAGGTGGGAAGCTGGGAGACATGGCAGAGCCAGGAGGGGTCCCTGGGTATTCCAGTTTAAGCAGATGGAATGGAGGTGGGGTTCCTGCTTGGGATCAAAGGATCCAGTCCTTAGCACAACAGGTGTGGCTGGGGAGGTTGCCAGGCTAAAGCAAACACTGCTACCTTCCTGGAGCACAGGGAAAGTCAGAAACCCTCAGACCACAGAGAAGGTACTTTTCTGAGGTCTCCAAAATGAGAGCCATTCTGACACTACCCTCTCATGTTGCCCTAAATGGGATGTCACACTGGCGGTGGAGTCATTAGAGTTGGGGAAGGAGAGGAACTGGCCTTCAGAAAACACCTTCTCCCCACACAGCCCTCTAGGGTGTGGAATGGGTAGCTCTGGGAGGTGGGAAAGCACCCTTCCTCCCATGGATCACATTTAACACCAGGTCTGTCCTGAAGGTTAGAAATAGGGAGTATTTTTAGGTTCAGTTCTTGGATAGGAGGTGACTTAAGGCTGATTTGGCTCTGATTTCAGGCCTGAAGGGCTTGGGGATCCTTCATACCTGGTCTTTGAGCCAAGGTCCAAAGGAGGAAAAGGGCATTGTGAAAGGGACCAGCAGTGCTGTGGGTGGGAAGAGAGCTGGGGTAAGAGGGCCACTGTTCCTTCACACAGGGGTGAGGAGGGACAGAGTAGCTCTGTCATTAAGAAGGAGATGTCCACTAGACTGAACATAAGAAGTCTTTCTGGCTTCAGGGAGCTTTGGTATCACACTGGGGGCAGGGACGGGGGCAGGGGCAAGGGCAGGGCTGGGTTTCTGCAATCTGAGACTTTCCCTGTGTATTCTTCAAGCCTGGCTTGGAGCTGGGGGATAGGGTGGTCCCCCTTCTTGGTCCTTAGCTCAATGGGGAGAAGGTACCCTGAAAGGAAACATTCTGGGATTGGGGAACCTACACTGGGTGAATGATGTGGTGGTGGTACAGGATGGTCCCTGGTGAATGGGGAGGCATTTATGTCCCTCTAGCTGATCTTTAGTGGTGACATTTGTTTACCTCTGTTTTTCCCCACTAATTCACTGTGACTCCCACTTCCTTCTGATCTGAGGTTTCATTTGGGCTCAGGAATGGAGAGGGGAGGCAGTAGTGAATTCAGGTTCCTAAGTGGTACCTAAGGGCATGGGCCAAGAGAGAGGGCCCAGTAGAGTACCCACACATGTCTACCCTCTAACCCCTGGAGTGCGGGCAGGCAGAGTCGTTGGGTACAAATGTCAGTGTCTTTCTTTAGAACTTCTTCCCATAGACATCTAGGTCCTACCCCTGCCTGACAGAAGTAGAAGTGTGTGTGTGTGTGTGTGTGTGTGTGTGTGTGTGTGTGGTGTTGTGGGGACTCAGGCAGGGAAGCAGGGCAGAAAGGGGGATGAAGGAGGGGGCAGTCAGTTAAAGGGAGGACAGGTCTCATGGCTGAGGCTGCTCTATGGAGTCCTGGTCCTTAGTAGGAGTGGGTTGGTAGATGGGCTTCTGTTGTTCCTCCTCCATGTCCGTACTTGCCTCTGCATCCTCCTCCACTTGGGGATATACAACCACACACATCTTCTGGCTCACTAGGGTTAGTGATTCTGTGGAAAGAAACGACACAGAAGCCAGGTCAGTACTGAGTTTGCTGCTGACCCACTAATCAGGCTGCGTTCGACAGCTCTTCCACCTCGGGTTTTACCTGAGCAAAGCAGCGTGTCTGTTGCCTGCATTTTCTGTTGGCTACCTCTAGTTCACCAAGGCTCTTGGCTTTCACCTTTCCTGCACCCACTGAACCCCACCCCCCAATTCCAGGGTCTCTGCTGGTCTCTACCAGCCTGGAGTAGCTCCTGATGGACAGCTGGTAGGCTGCCCTTCAAGGTCTGTGTGGGAATGTCAGCTGTTATCTTCTCCCCAGAGGTCTTTGGAAGGCATTTGTCACTCTTGGCCCTGACTCCAGAGCTCTTGGACTGAAGGGACGGTGTTCTTTGGCTTCCTGATTCTGGTAGGGCTCCCCCATCAGACTGCTATGTCACTGCCCAAGAGGCCCTTTTCTCTCTCTAGCTACCTAAAGCCTCAAGAACTCACCAATGAAGTAATTGAAACACTTGGGCTTGTGTTGCCAGTAGACACCCAGGAAGTAGACAGGTACTCCGGTCAGCATGATGGCCAGGCCAATGCCGCACACCACTGGTTCCGACCACAGGCTGAAGATCAGCAGGAAGGCCCAGAACAGCAAGTAGATGATGGGGAACAGCAGGTTGATCTGTGGAACAGAGGTGTTGTGAATTGTGTAGCCCTCAGGACCAAGGAATCTTCTCTTTTCTTCTACATCTTTGAGGGTAAAAGCTGAGGTTCACACAGCTCTGTGTCAACATAGGTGCTATGTCAACAAATGTTGGTGAACTTGGGCAGTGGGACAGAGAAGTAAGGATCCTCCTTGATCATTCTCTTTCGTGGGTGGGGTCAGATAAGACGTCATAACCTATGTAAGTGCCTGTGGCAGCCAGAGAAGACCATCCCTCTCATCAGGATCAGCCTCAATGTATTTCTAGCAAGCAATTAGAGAAGCCTCTTAGTTCTAGGAGGTCAGGAAAGCCAACAGGGTGTAAGGCAGGCTGGGGCCTGAACTTGAGTTCAGAGAAAAGTACCTGCTGAGAGAGAGAGAGAGAGAGAGCCAAGATGACCCAAGAATGCATTCACAATCTGGGGCAATCCCTCCTGGCAGAGGATGATATAGGGGAGATGAGGTCATCTACTTCCCCTTCCCTCCAGGAAGTTTTCTAAGACTGGGAGAAAAGTGGTAGTGAAAACGTCAGCAGAGAACTGAGAGATAAGGAGAGTCCTTCCTTCTCAGCAGGAAGAATCTTCTAGAAGTATTTTGTCTGTTTCTATAACAGGATTGCTCAAATAGCTCTAGGCTCTATTCTGGCTGCCGGAGAACTCAGCACTGAGCAATCTCATCCATTCCTACTATCAGTTTTTTTAAAGGGAGGGTCTCTCAGTAGCCCAGGCTGGCCTGGAATTCCCTATGTAGACCATGTTAACCTAGATCTCACAGAGAGCCACCTGCCTCTGCCTTCCTGAGTGCTGAGACTAAAGGCGAGCACCACCATGCCCAGCTCTATCAGATTTTTTTTTTTTTTTAGTAAAGTAGTAATCACTAAATTCACTGAGCCCCCTAGTGTGTCGAGCCTTTGGAGTTTAAGAAATCAAAGACTACAGAAGAAGATTGGAAAGCTTCAATAAAGAGGAGATGCTTGAGGCCCATTTGGCCAATGTTCAGAATTTAGACAGGCAGATGGGAGAAGGGAACTCATTTTATGATAGAGACATAGTGTGATGAACCCAGTTATCAGACAGAACCTCGAAAATCAGCTGAAGTTTAAAACTTAAAGAGTATCAAGAAACAAAGGAATGAAGTGTGAAAGCCACCAAGCCCAACTTCTTCCCCAACTGCCAGCAGCTCTGGTTATCTCAGTGAAGAAAGGAAGCGACTGTCTCGCGCACATATGACCAAGAACCACAATTAATAAAAAATCTGCACTGTAACTAGATGCAAGAGAGGAAGGGGAGGGGATCCCAAAATCATATTCTCTCACCTTGATGGGGCGGGGGATGTCAGGCTTTTTCCAGCGAAGGACTATCTGTCCTGCAACTGTGACCCCATAGAAGAGGTAGTTGATGAAGCCCACGTAATTGATGAGTGTGTACATGTCACTGGTGACCAGCATCAGCAGGGTGGAGAGGCACTGTGGGAACAAGGATGAAGGAAAATTTTTGAAGCCTGGAGGAGATGTTCACAGGTTGGGGGCTGTTCCTCCCTCTCCAGGCCAACCACGCTATTTTATAAAGGACATCTCAAGAGGGAGACTTCTCAGCCACCTTGAGTAGCCCAGGTTGCAATTACACCTTCATTACCAGAAATTTCTTTCCTGTTATAGGTATAAAATAAAAATATATAACTACTGGTATGACTTGGGAACTAACCATTCAGAGTGGATACCCAGACTGGCCACACTGGTGTCACCTGGCTCTGGGTCAGCCCAGGTTACTCTCAGTTATAGCTCAAGCTAATTTTTGGTTTTCTTTCTCTTCCTTTCCTTTCCTTTCCTTTCCTTTCCTTTCCTTTCCTTTCCTTTCCTTTCCTTTCCTTTCCTTTCCTTTCCTTTCTTCTTTCTTTCTTTCTTTCTTTCCTTCCTTCCTTCCTTCCTTCCTTCCTTCTTTCTTTCTTTCTTTCTTTCTTTCTTTCTGGCCTGGAACTCACAGAGATCTGCCTTCTCTATCTCTTGAGTACTGGGATTAAAGGCATGTATCACCATGCCTGGATCATTCTCTCTCTCTCTCTCTCTCTCTCTCTCTCTCTCCAGGGTCTCCCTATAGCCCTAGCTGGCTTGGAACTTGCTATGTAGACCAGACTGGCCTTCATCTCTGTGAGATCCACCTGCTTCTGCCTCCTGAGAGCTGGGATTAAAGACATCCACCACCACACCTGACCTTTTTTTGACCTCTTAAGAGAAGATTGTTAAATTAAGATGAGGCTTTGTTCTTCTCTTTATCATTTTCTCTTGGATGAGTCATCTAATTAAATTTTCTCTTAAAAATGATTAAATGCTAACATGGCCAGATTCTTTTCTTAGCATTTTGGAATATTAACTCATTGAAGCCTATAACATCTCTGTGAGATTTTCTTGATGGAGGCCATTTTCTAACTTCAAGTCATCTCTGTGGCTATCTTAGAACAAGCCATGTTCTTCCAGCCTCATAATCTGTGAAGGCCAATGAAAAGTTAGTTCTCTCTTGAGATCTGCCGGTGACCAGATCTTAGTGATGGACAGGTCAGGTTCTTGTCCTTGCCTTAGAGTCATAGTACTGCAGCTCACTCAAGGTGAGAAAAGGCTGTGTGACTCATTGGAAACTGTCATCTTCCATCATTCCCTGCAACTACCCAATCAAGACGACTTTTACCCTGTACTTGAACATCGTGAAATTCCCCCAATGAGCTTTATCATCCTGATTTCTGATCACCTCTCCTGGGGCCCTTAATGCTTTATTCAAGATTCAGATGGAAACTAAAATTAATTCAAAAGACTTAATGAAGATGAGTCTTTGCCCCTTCTTTTAGCTGTCCCTAAATGATTCTGTTCTTTCCCATCCCCAGTTTCCTTTTGCCCACCTTAAACTGATTGGTTTTCCTCTCTGCGTGGTGTTTCTTATTAGGTGTGCTCTTAACCAGATTTGTTTCAATGGCATCTCCCAAGAGGCTGACAGGGTACCCAGGGGCAGGAAGTTGGAGGAGAATGGTAAGCATGTGCAGTGACCAGCTAGAGCAGAGGCCTATAGCTGCACCCCTGTGGTAGCAGGTGCCAGGAAGGCCAGGGACACACATGTGTCTTCATGAGGCTGTGGAACCCCAAGTCACTTTGGTTTGCTCCCAAAGGATTGGAGAATGAAAATGAACCAGCCTGAGAGCTGTGGGTGTTTTGAACTCAGGATCTTTCCTAATTATAACCCTTGACATAAACAGAGCCAGCGTCTACATGTACCAACTTCTCGAGGGCCAACCGAAATCTAGGAGCAGACTAGGAGGGTGACAAGTTTGTGGGTGCAGACAGCATGTGTGAATCTCAAGTGAGACTAGGCACAAAGAGAGGAGGGGATGTGTGTTGGACCAGCAGCAGCAGGGGCCCTTACTGTGAAGAGCAGGGCTGGGATTGGGGTGCAGCGCTTCACGTGGATCATGGCCAACACGCTGGGAAGGTGGCCTTCTCTGGCTCCAGCAAAGAACAGCCTGGCAGGGAGAAAAGTAGGTCAGCCTGGGATAGCCCAAGAGCCACTAAGCCAGGGCTCTCTCTCCATGCCCACCTTTTGCCTACACAGTAGCACCCTTCTTCAGTCAGGAACCTGCCTTGTGTTCACATCATCCAGTCTGCTTGTCACAGGACCCCTGTTCACAAATGCAGGTAAGGCAAACCAGAGACAGCAATGGATAAGTGGACAGATCCTGGGCATGTAGAGACTAAGAATGTGGTCTGGCTGGCTCAGGGTGCTGATCGTGCTGCCAATCACTCCTGATGTGTCCTTATTTATTTGTTTTTTGGTCCTTTGAGACACCGTCTCATGTAGCTCAGGCTGGCCTTTATTTGCTCTATAGCTAAGATAAACCTTGAACATGATTTTCCTGCTTTCACTTCCTGAATACGGGGACTTCGGGCATGCATCACTATGCCTCCCTGCTTCTCTCTTTTTAAACACGTACCTTCTCGTTCTCAAGGGCTATAGATTCCCTGGCACACTGGGACTGAGCTCCATGTGCAAAGCTTTAAGAACATTCTCATGTTTACAGAGTATTTGCTTCTATGAGTAGAAAGAGGGCCATGGGCTGGAAAGTGGTTGGGGGAGATGCTGAATATTTTATTTATTTATTTTTATTTTTATTATTTTTTAACGTGTATGAGTATATTGCCTGCATGTGCATAAGTGCACCCATGTCATACAGTGCCCTCAGAGGTCAGAAGCGAGCCTTGGATCCCCTGGAATTGGAATTACAACAGTTGCTAGCTGCCATGTGGGTGCTGGGAACCAAACCTGGGTCCTCTGCAAGAGCAGCCAGTGCTCTTAATTGCTGGTCCATCTCTCCAGTCCTCCTAGGAGAGACATTGAAATGTTTGGGGTGGTGGTTAACTACTGGCTGTCTCTAAGGGTCACAACTCATCAAAGGGGAACACTTATAATCTGTGCATTTTACTACATAGATATTGGACTTAAAATTGATAGCCTTAGAGGTACTTACTCTATTCCCAAGAAGCCCTCCTAAAAGAACAAATAGCCAGGCATGGTGGCACACACCTTTAATCCTAGCACTTGGAAGGCAGAGGCAGGAGGATCTCTGTAAGTTCAAGGCCATCCTCGTCTACATTGTAGTTCTAGAGTAGCTAGAACTACATAGTGAGACCCTGTCTCAAAAGAAAAGAAAACAAAACAAAACAGGAAACACAGATAGGCATTGAAAGGTATATATACAAAAATGTCCTGATAATAAGTCAAACTAGAAATGTCTTAAATAAATGCTTAAAATTATGTATATCTGTGAGATGGAAAATTATAAAGTAAAAATCATGTTTTTGAAGAAAATGATCGCGTAAGAACATACAATATACCATTCAACAAAAAATGCAGGGTACAAAACTGATTCTGAAGTTCCTTTTGTGGTTCATAAGTGTGATGATTGGTTCTTTATTTGCTGACAAGCATGACACGTGCCACCCTCAAACCTTGTACGAACCAGCACATTACTTGTCTGACATGAACTTAGGAAAATAAAAACAAAACAAAACAAAAAAACCTGATTCTGAGCTGGGTGTGGTGGGACATGCCTGCAATTCTAGCACTCAGTAGCCTGAGAGAGGGGGATTTCCAGTTTGAGGCCAGCCTTATATGAGAGCCTGTCTCAAAAAATGCTGGGGGAAGGGAATTATACAGCCTTAAGAGGGAATAGAGAGTAAAAAGTGAGTATGTAGGTGAGAGAGTGAGGGGGTGGGTTGAGGGTGGGGGTGGGGGGAGAATAACCAAAAAAAACCCTTTCCTCCTTTCTCTTTTCCTCTTCTAAAATAAAACAAACTGTTAGCACTCCTTTATGTATTGTATGGATCAAACTGCTTTAAGTTGCCTTTTCTTTTTTCTTTAAAAAGTTTTTATAGCCTGGTGTGGTGGCGCACGCCTTTAATCCCAGGAAAGGCGGGCGGATCTCTGTGAGTTCAAGGCCAGCCTGGTCTACATACATAATGAGTTCTAGGACAGCTGGGGCTACAGGGAGACCCTGTCTCAAAAAGACTAA